TCACTCGGCTATTGCCAGGCCGACCCTCTGTTACACACCCTCACTCACTCGGCTATTGCCAGGCCGACCCTCTGTTACACACCCTCACTCACTCGGCTATTGCCAGGCCGACCCTCTGTTACACACCCTCACTCACTCGGCTATTGCCAGGCCGACCCTCTGTTACCCAACCTCCCTGAGCCACCTCCTTCCCCTACGTCTTCACGTGGCTGGCATCTTCTGGGGTACATCTTGACACCCCTCTGAAGCAGCTCTTCCTACCTATTCCCAGTCCAGGTCAGTCCTCAATGGCCTTACAGGTGCAGAGGGCGAAACGCCTTAACCTTGTTCACTATGTTTATTGTGTATCGTCCACCAGCAGGTAGGCTCCATGCGGACAGCGTCCTTTTTCTCATTTGGCTGCTCCTGCCCTAGCACCCAGGTATTGAACAATTACTAAGTATTCACTAAGTGAACGAGGATTCTGCCCTCAGCAAATGGTTGCTGAACAAATGATGGAACTATGGGCACTTTTACCTAAGCAAGTTGCCAGTGACACGTGTACTGAAACAACAGAAAGATATCATCAGACCAGCAAAGTTTCAGACGCCTTATCCCCAGCCAGCCAGCTATCTTTTCTTCAGGGACTGCTGACATGAGTGACTGCTAATGTGATAACCGGTGAGATGAGCTACTCTGGGACAGATTTGCGACCTAACCCCCAAGTGGCGGAGGCGGCTGCAGATGGCTGCAGCCAAGGCCAACTGAGATGCTGAGTAGACAAACGAAAACACCAAAAAAGGCAAACAGACAGAATCGACAGCAAGAGCACTGGACGAAGTGAAACCCCAAAGGGCAAATCTCCTTACCATTCATAAAAGGGAATTCAAATTAACTTTTTAAAACTCTATTGATATAAACAGATAAGCAAAGAATTAAGAGAATTTGTAGAAAATCTGAGCTAATTCCTGGTAGGTTTTTTAAATTGAGAAACAATTCATATACCGTAACATTCACCTTCTAAAGTATACAATTCAGTGGTTTTTAATACATTCATAAAGTTGTGCGATCATTAGCACTATTTTAACTCCAGAACGTGATTGCCCCTAAAGAAACCCTGTACCCATTAGCAGTCACCACCAAATCCCTTCCCATCCTGGTTCCTGGCAACCACAAATCTTCTTTCTATACCGATTTATTTCACTACGCATGACATTTCCTATAAATGAAGTCATATGTGATCTTGTGTGTCTGGCTTCTTGCACTTGGCCTGATGTTTTCTAGGTTCATCCATGTTGTGGCATGGGTCAGTACTTCATTTATTTTTATGGTTGAGTAATATTCCACCGTGTGGATACACCAGATTTTGTTTATCCACTCATTCATCAGTTGATGCTCACTCGGGTTGTTTCCAATTTTAGCTATTATGAATAATGCTGTTAAGAACTTTTGTGTACAGGTTTTTGTGTGAATATATGGTTTCAGTTGTCTTGGATTTGAACTTGCTGGTCATGTGATGCCAGCAGGTTTTTAATGGGAAATCTGCCTTCTAAACAGATGCAGTTAAAGAGGAACTAATTTCAACTCACGTAAGATATGAGGCAATAGGCAAAAAAGAAACACAAATCATGCAGCATGGAAAAGGGTAGTACTAACAATAACAGCAGCAGTTAATATGTTGAGCCCCTCATCTGTGCCATGTACCTTGCTAGAAGATTTGGACCTGCAGTTTAATCCTCATTCTCACAATAGTCCTATAGTGTTATCCTCAATTATCCTTCTTCTACAGAGGAAGGAATGATTCAGACCCTGGGATGCTAGGCTGCCCACAATTTTACATCCTGAGAGAGCACAGATGTGAAGCTGGCCCATGTGTCCCACTTGGAGGAGGCAGGAAAGGAGACTGCTGGAGCATCCCTAGGAATCATCTACGGTCTCAATTCCTCCTCCAAAGCGGCCGCCATCGAATCAACAAACGGTAAACGATATTCTCCTTTCAGAGAACACATAGAGAAGCCAATTCTAAAACGGAAAGAAGTCCAGTTTGAACAGAGACTTTATCCTGAGGGCAAGTGAGCAGCAATTCGGGATTTCTGAGCAGTGACTTGCCAGTCCTCCGGCCTCACAGCCAGGGTGAGCTGAAGGTGACCAGAGACCGGGGACAAGTGGCCAGTTAGGAGGCTGTCAGAATAGACCTGGAAAGAAATATGGCCAGTGGAGATGCCAAAAGAAGAGCTGGGAGTGGAGGATGGGGCGGGAGGCCTCCAGAATGCTTCACAAGCCTGAATGCAGAGGGTGGCCAGCTGACAGTAGGAGGTAAAATCCATGCCACATGTCACTGATGGAAAACAAGTCTCTGACAGAGGGCTCCCCCCTTCCTATTTGCCTCTTTCCAAGGTCAACGGTGAGTTGCTAGACTTCTCAAATAAGGCCTTAATGGTTTCAATGTTTTATGAACCTCTTACATTTCTCAGTCAATAAAGACAAATAATGTCATTCAAAAGCACGTGGTGAGCATCTCCCTGATGTCTCCCTGCAGAGGCTGGAATAGTGAATGCCCTGCACACAATGGATACTAAGCGAGCAGTGATTGACAGGAGAAATTATATTCCCATTAGAACCACACAGCTGTGTTTTCAATTCTGCTGATTCAATATTTCCCGTCAGAAACAGCTTCTGGTCTTTCAATACAACAACCAGTTTACTCTTGTGCACATCAATGCACAAAGTATATGTAGTTGTCTTTTGTGGTCAAAGAGAATGCTGTCCTGCGTAGCAATCTGAGGCACATCAACAATGATACCAAGAGCAATCCTTTCCTCTCTCAGGCTTGCGGGGATGTTAAATGTGGCAATCAAAGTAAGCAGAAGCAAGGCTGGCTCGTACAGTCATAAAAACAAACGAAAAAGCCGAAGGATATGGGCTATACTGGAAACTCAAGGTCAAAAAGGCTCATTAGCCAGGTGTGACCAACTAGACCTGTATGTCCAGCACAGTAGCCGCCAGCCACATGTAGCTATTTAATTAGCTAAATAAGATTAGTCAGGTGCAGTGGCTTTCACCTGTAATCCCAGCACTTTGGGAGGCCAAGGCAGGCCAATTGCTTGAGCTCAGGAACTTGAGACCAGCCTAGGCAACATAGTGAGGAGTCTCTACCTGGAAAAAAAAAAAAAAAAGCCGGATGTGGTGGTGTGTGCCTGTGGTCCTAGTTACTTGGGAGGCTGAGAAGGGAGGATGGCTTGAGCCCAGAAGGCGGCCTGGGCGACAATGCCAGACCCTGTCTCAAAAAAAAAAAAAAAAAAACAGATTAAAAAAAATTCAGTTCCAGTCACACTAGCCACATTTCAAGTGATCTTCAGTCACATGTGACTAGGGGCTACCACATTGGGTAGCACAGCTATAGAATGTCCATCATAGGAAATTCTTTTGGACAGTGCTAAGCCAGGCCGACTAGGTGGTCAAACGTGACAAAATGATGTGTCTATTCTTTACCCACTGACAACATAGGTTGACTTTCCTGGACAGATACCCTTAAATCAGTATGTTTTCAGACTGTAGGTTTCACAGATCAGTAAAATCCTTTTCCTACCTTAGGGTTGCCAGGTTTGTGTTTTGTCCAGTAAGACTGCCACCAGATCACCAGGCTGCATGCCCCATCAGGGCAGGTAGGCACTGTGCCCATCTGACGGCTTGCATTAAATCCCCAACGCCTAATGCAATGCCTGGTTCATAGGGCATGCTCAGTAACTGAGTAAGTGATGATGCACGTGCACACACATACATATATCCTTACCTTTTTCATTTGATCTTCAGTGAAAACTGCCACTGGCTGGCACCGGTCTGCTGAAAGGTGTGTGGGTTTTATGCACACACACAAATACAGAGGCTAGAGTGTCACAAAATAAATAAGTCATCTAACATTTTTTGAAAACTTTATATTAATAAATGCTTGTAACAAAATATACCAGACCAGACTGCAGTGGAGTATAGGTTTCTCTAAACTGACTGTACATGTCAGAACCAAAAATGCAGCGAGGAGAAACTGTTTGCTTTTCAATGGCACCAGAGTGCCCTCTTGTGGTAAAATATGGTATCTGCATAGTCACAATTTCTATTCAAAAAACAAGTGTCTAACAATGCACAAAACCTGTACTGGACTATAAAGCACTCTTGAGAAACAGTATAAATATGCATCTATATAGTTTATGTAAAATACAGCAAGTTGTGCTGGTGAAAAAAATAATTAAGATCTGTCACAGGACTTTGTGGTGAGGTCATCCACGTATCTAGGAACTAACAAAATACATGAAAGCTGTTCTTGGGATTTGATATTCTAAATAGTTCCTGTTCATCTTCTAGTTAAAAACAAATGACTTTCAAGTTCAAGGTGGCATCATACAGTTTATTCCTTCCTTTGTCCAACATCAACAATAACCTTTGCTGCCTCCAACTCCTTTTTTCACTTTCATCTTAATAGCCCTTTTCTGGGGGGGAGGAAGGCTTCCTCACATAAACCATTCTTTCAAAGTCTGCTTGGTTGTTCCTTTTTACACTTTAAAAACAGTGATACATCATGTCCAGAATGAGTTCTCAATTAAAAGATGAAAATGTGACCTTGATCATCTTAAGAGTTCTTGCAAATTTCAACTTGATATTCTATGGCCTTCCAAGGGCAAAACACATCTTTATTGATCAATTTCTGCTGAGACAGAAATCTCCAGTTTTACTGATTTAACGATGTGGAATATTTCTTCAAATGACAGTAGAAAAAGCTGATTTACCCATGAAGATTCTAGTAAGTGTGGTCTCTGTGAATAGAGAAGAATCACTATTTGAATGAGACCTCAAGATGCTTATAAACTCTAAATCAACACCCGAATCTGAGGGTTCAGAGGAAGAATCTTTAAAAGACAGTATCCGATAATAACTGACTAACCCCTAGCCTCTGATTCTCCTGGGTATTTGTTTAAAATGTAGGTTATTCCTCGGATCTACTTAAGACTTTAAACCACATCTCTATGGAGTTTGGTAATGAGCATTTTTATTAAATTCCCCAAGTACAAGCCCCAGTGTACACAGTAAGTAATTTCAGTTTTGAGCAACTGCCAGAGAAGGAATGTCCCCCTTGTGTTTGTTGACTGCCTTCTGATTTGTTTGAAAGCCTTTTTCTTCTTGCATCATCTTGACCATTCTTGGTATGAAGGATGTTTTCTTGTTTCTCCTCAGTTTCATCTTCTCCAGAAGAAGAAACCATGCCAGGCGGCAGTCTCCTACTGTTCCCGGCTTCCATGGCTTTACTCTGTTCCCTTTTTCTCTAACAAGTCATCAGCTCAGATCTAAAAATACTCTAAGGGTAAATCCACTGATGAATAAAATGGTTCCAATGTCCCATATTCCTTTTTTTAGAAAGCAAGAATTTCCTGCATATATGAATCTAAAGAATCAACTGTTACCTACGCTAGAAAAATAAAGACCATGAACAAGTCTGCAATATTGAAATGGGTGAACATCAATTTAGAGACAAGTACTAAACTAGGAAAGTTTTTGCTAGGTTTCCTCCAGAACATAATACCATTTTTAGACCTTCTAGGACAAACCATCTTTTATTGACATTAACAGAAGAAGATAATCACATTTTTTATAAAGGCAGGCAAAGTTTTCATTATAAGCTGTTCTATAATATTTGTATATGTGGTTTTTAACCTTGTGCATATGCTACTTTGATTTCTTCAACATCTGAGAATGAAGGAGAAAAACCTCATATCTAGATCAATGTCCTATATTTTATTTCCAACATTTGGGACTAATTTTGAAGTAAGAGCAAATAAAGGTTCACATTTGCTGAGTATTTGTTATGTACAAAGTATAACTTTAAAGGTACTACTGGATATGCACTCATTCAAAAAGCTGGAATATGTTCCACAAAGATTGGTTCCACAAAGATCTTTTGTCCCACGAAGATTTCAAAGTGTGGAATATGTTCCACAAAGATTTTCTGCTGAAGAGCAACTTCAGCAGGGTAGTAGAGAGGTAGAAAAATCTCCTAGGTTGAATAACTGAGGCTACTAAGATTGGCATGCAAACAACTAGACACATTATCTAACCCATCACAGATGAAATGTTCTGGACTCCTGGGTTCCTGCCAAAAATAATAGCAACACAGGCCAGGCACGGTGGCTCACACCTGTAACTCCAACACTTTGGGAGGCTGAGGCAGGAGGAACCCTTGAGCTCAGGAGTTCGAGACCAGCCCGGGCAACATAGTGAGACCTCATCTGTGCTAAAATTTAAAAAATTGGCCAGGCATGGTAGTGCAAACATGTAGGCCCAGCTACTTGGGGGGCTGAGGTGGGAGGATTGCTTGAGCCCAGGCAGTCAAGGTTGAGGCTGCAGTAAGCCCTGATCATGCCACTGCACTCCAGCCTGGGTGACAGAGCAAGACCTTGTCTCAAAAAAACCAAACCAAATAGCAATACAAGTTAACATCTGATTCTCCATACCTAGTATCTTCCCTATACCATTGTCCATCTCGGACTCAGGTCAAGGAATGTGTCTGGCTCATTCATACAACAGTTGAGTGTGGGGCGGGAAGTGTGACACCCCGCAGTCAGAAATCTTAGGTTCAAATTCTGACTGGCTCAAAATTTGTAACTCAACAAATAATTCACTTATTTGACCTGAAGTCTCCATACATGAAAATGGGGACTGCCAGTGCTCCCTCCATGAACAACACAGGGAGGGGCCGGGAGGATGGTGTGGATGTGAATGATTCCTGACAGACGCTCAGTAAATGTTTAATGAGTCTGTTATCTAAGCACTATCCTCGAGGAGAACCAGGAGACTCCTCGGGGAGGCAAGTGGCCTGGGACAGTCCCTTCCCAGGAATGGTGACGGCCACCAACAATATCAATAATCCAGCACAGACTGGAGCTCAGTGACACAAACTGCTCCGACGTTATGTTAGACACAATGACTTCCTTCTAACCCTTGGACTCTACAATGATGTGGACCTGGATTTTCCCAAATTAAACACAGTGAAAAGGAACTACATGTGTTCCCCAAGGGCTAAGTACCTGCATCAGCCTCTCACGGTGCACCACTCGCAGCACTCTCTGTGCACATGGGGTCACACCAACTCACCCCAACATCCCTAACGAGGTGGCCACTCTAACCATGCCCATTTTCCAGAGGAGGGACTGGAACTCAGAGACCATTCTGCCCAGGACAACACAGCTCGTCGGCAGCAGAGCTGGGACCTGGCCTCAGAGCATGCGCTCAGCCACTCTGCTGTAAGTCCCCTGGCGGAAACCACAGTGAAAGTCCCGTAGTTTCGACATATGCTGGGATTTTAAACCTTACGCAGTCTGTACCTATTCTCATGAGAACAACAGTAAAGTCTAAATAAAACCTTAAAAGTCACTGTGTGGCTGAGCTTCAGGTTAGTGACATGTTTTGCAAAAGAAGACAAAAAACCAGAATTTTCTGATATCAAAATTTTTCACAGCTTTCTCTTGTCCAAGGAAAAACTGAAGATAAATCCACATTCCAAACATGTCTTTAGTTTAGAATTCTGACAGAGGAATTGGCAGTGAGTGTCAAAAACTTAAATGTACATAACCTACGACCCTGCAAATTCTACTTCTGGGATCTTACAGAAAAACTAATACAAGTATACAAAGAAATCTGTGCAAGGATGCTGACTGCAGCAGTGTTTGTTAACAGCAAAAACTAAAAACAAGCAGACTAACCATTCACTCGGCTAAACACATGATGGCAGACACTCGATGGAACACCATGTAGCTGGTTAAAAGAATGAGGTAGCTCTAGCTTCACTGACATAAAGGATTATCTTAGATATACTATTAAGCAAAAAAGCAAGTGACAGAATGTGCATAGTATAATCCTATTTTATTAAAAATAAACTCTGTGTGTGTATATGTGTGTGTGTGAGAGAGAGAGATGTAAAGACATAGAAAAGGGCCTAGAAAAATACATAAACTTCCCTTGGGAGGTGGAAATTGATGGAGGGGGTCTCTCATGTTCTACATTGTGGACATCTGTATTTGCTTAAAGTTATTTATGAAATGACATAAAATTTTGAAACAAAATATTCTGGAGGCTAATTTTCTAAAGGGAATAGCACAGCTTAGACATGCCCCTAAACTGAAATGTAAACTTCTTTCTCCCATTTGCAAACCTGTGAGTACATAGTAAGAGAAGCATTGCCACAAAATCCTCTTTTAAAAGCTCTTTCAGGACACTACACTAAGTCATTCACTTCTGAGATTTTAAAGGCCACCAATGTCTCTATTTTCAGACGTCACAAATGACATAAATGCCAAAATTATAGATCTTAAGAAGAAAATACGTAAAATACAGATTTAGACAAAACAAATGACTAAAGCTGCATAGTTCTGCTAGACTTTATTCAAAACTGGCCCTACACTTATTTGAGAGACCTAAAATTCTAGTGTTCAAATGTAAATACCCATCATATACTGAGAAGTAATCTTCAAATTTAGTTCTGACCCAAATTTGGCTCAATTAAATCATACGTCAGATAACACAAATGGTTACACCTCAGCACATAACAAAATCCTGGCAGTATCATAGCAAGTGAGCTATGACATCATTTAACTCTCAAACTGAACTGTAATCTTAAGTTACACACACCACAATACACCTTTGCACAGGTAATTTTATTCTTCCTGTGGGTGTTGACAGTGCTCATTGATTGAAATTTGAAACATTTAGAAATCCCATACCTGAAGATGGTCACATATTCTTTACATCACGATTCAGTAACTATTCAACAGTTATGTCTACTAAATACAGTGAACAAAACAGTATAAATGTTTACACTATTCCCTTGTGAACAGGGCTTTTGTGCACAATAGTAACAAATGGAATTAATGCATACCATGATATCAATAAGGAAAAGACCTTCTCTTTAAATAAACTATTCTGTTTATAAATAAACTCTGATTTTTTTAGTACACATTTACAGACCTGATCAATAAAAAGAAACTATATATATATATATTTTCCTTTAAAAAGAAAATGTTGAGATACAGACCACTGTGGGAGAATTCACCTACGAAAGGGGGTCAGAAGCAAGCAAAGGATACTAGAGGTGAAAGTACGACCATACTGCAACTTATTTCTGTTAGCACACACCAACACAAGGACAGGATTGTCGGGGGAGGAGCCCATTTTCACTTGAATTCCAGCAAGTTGCAATCAATCTTGTAGTACACATAGGGGTAGTATTCTTGTTGACTCAGGTTTAAACCTGGAATATCCATAGGAGCCTATGGAAAAAATAGACAATTACTCAATTTTGTATTTACAGAACTCAGAAAAAAAGAAAGCTAAGTATTAACATTTACCTTTTTATTGAACATCTACTCTGGGCTAAATGTATGCACTTAAGGTTAATTTATCTGAGTTAGACATTATTCCCATTTTGCAAATAAGAAAACAACCTCTGAAAGACTGACTTCTCCTAGGAAACACAGACAGTAAGTGGTAAAGCCAAGTTCAAGCACTCTGACTGCAAAGCCTGCATATGTATTTAGCATGATCCCACCAACCTTTTTTATGTACACTGTAAAAATTAACTTTTTAAATCTTGGACTTAGAATACTGAGTTGATGCGATATAAGACTTACAAAATGTGGAGTAAAAATAAAGCAAGTATGATTTAAAAGTAATGCTTATTCTGTAATCTCAGCACTTTGAGAGGCCAACGCCTTGAGCCCAGGAGTTCAAGACCAGTCTGGGCAACATAGTGAGACTCTATAGCTACAAAAAATAAAAATAAACACATTAACCAGGAGTAGTGGTGCGTGCCCATAGTCCCAGCTACATGGGAGGCTGAGGTGGGAGGATCACTTGAGCATAGTGGTTGAGGCTCCAGTGAGCCAGAATCATGCCACTGCATTCTAGACTGAGCAACAGAGCAAGATCTGATGGCAAAACAAAAAACAAGCAAGGATAACACTTTTTATATATGCATGTTGTAAGAATTTACTGCTAGAACATTTATGTATCAAATAATTAGACCTCTTATTTTATCCACAATTTCATGAAAGTGTAGCTAGTCAGCCAGGTGCAGTTGCTCATGCCAGTAAGCCTAGCACTTTGGGAAGCCGAGGTGGGTGGATTACCTGAGGTCAGGAGTTCAAGACCAGCCTGGCCAACATGGCAAAACCGCATCTCTACTAAAAATACAAAAATTAGCCAGGCATGGTGGCAGGCACCTATAATCCCAGCTACTTGGTAGGCTGAGGCAGGAGAATTGCTTGAACCTAGGGGGCGGAGGTTACAGTGAGCCAAGATCATGCCACTTCACTCCAGCCTGGGCAAAAGAGCGTAACTCCATCTCAAAAAAAAAGAAAGAAAGAAAGAAAAATAAAACAAGTTTAGCAAGTCATTTCCTACATTTCCTTCTATCAAGAAAAACTGATTTTTCATAGTTCTAATTAATGCCTATGTGAGATACTACCATCCACCCTAAACTTTTAAAAAGAAAAAAAAATCAGCAAGATATTTAAAACCAAAAATATAAAATAAAAGTCCACTACAATTTTTTTTTTTTTTTGAGACAGAGTCTCCCTCTGTCACCCAGGCTGGAGTGCAGTGGCACAATCTTGGCTCACTGCAACCACCCCCACCCGGTTCAAGTGATTCTCCTGCCTCAGCCTCCTGAGTAGCTAGGACTACAGGTGCCCGCCATCACATCCAGCTAATTATTGTATTTTTAGTAGAGATGGGGTTTCACCATGTTGGCCAGGTTGGTCTCGAACTCCTGACTTCAGGTGATCCACCCGCCTCAGCCTCCCAAAGTGCTGGGTTTACAGGCGAGCTACCATGCCCGGCGGCCCATTACAATGTACATAACCTACGACCCTGCAAATTCTACTTCTGGGACTTTACAGAAAAACTACAAAAAAACAACAAAAAAACACGAGTAACTCTGTTTATATCTTCTTTTGTTTAAAAAATAACACTTTTGTTTAAAAGAAGATATAAACACATATATATATATTTTTTGGTCTGTTTTTTTTCTTTTTTCAGATGGGGTCTTGCTACGTTATCCAGGTTGGTCTCGAAGGCCTGGGCTCAAGTGATCCTCCCGCCTCAGCCTCCTGAGTTGCTGAGACTACCGGCATGTGTCACCATGCCCAGATACGCCATTTTGCCATTTTAGAAAAATGAACCTACCTTGAAAATACTCATCTATTGACTCTCTCGCTTCTACCAAATAAAATTAAAATAACTGCTTATTTTCTTCCTCTCTGCAATTTATAGTTTTTATAAATAACTAGTATCACTGGTTTCTGTATTTCTGCAGCTATAAACATCTGATACACAGCAAGATAACTATCAGCTTGTAGAAATGCCAAGAAGCAAAACACAGCTATAATTAGTATAAAACAGGGTAAACGATGTAAATTACTATGTTCATGTAACAAATTGAGAACCTCAAAGTAATAAAAAATGATTAAGTATCATACTTACTCTCCCTTTTCTATCTTCTTTCAATCATTTTTTTCTGAAATTCACTTCAATTCTTACTCTACTGGGCTAATATGTACTTACATCAATAATAGCTGCTGCACTGCTGTCTAGATGTTTATACAATTCATGTAATACTTCTCTCAGTTTCTTCAAAGTTTTCTTATTAGGCTGAAGTAGCATTGCTTGGAAGTTCACTGGCAAGCCATACCTTATAAAAAAGCAGAAATACAGTATGCAATACAAGCAAACATGTAAAGAGATGTTCTTTTCAAAGCAAATATTCTCATACTCTTTAATCATGGTTAACAGGGAGACAGTATCTCACTTTACTTTTACAAGTTCAACTAATATATATAGAAACTGAAACTAATATACACAAAAAACTTTAATATAAACAGAAACGTAAAACTTTGGTACTCACTGTCCACTAGAAATCTCTAAGCCAATTGCTAGGAATTACTTCAATTACCATTCCATTTTTTTTTTCTTTTGAGACGGATTCTCACTGTCGCCAGGCTGGAGTGCAGTGGTGCAATCTTGGCTCACTGCAATCTCCACCTCCTGGGTTCAAGCCATTCTCCTGCCTCAGCCTCCCGAGTAGCTGGGATTACAGGCACGCACCACCACGCCCAGCTAATTTTTGTATTTTTAGTAGAGACGAGGTTTCACCATGTTAGCCAGCATGGTCTCCATCTCTTGACCTCATGATCCGCCCACCTTGGCATCCCAAAGTGCTGGGATTACAGGCGTGAGCCACTGCACCCGGCTTACCATTCAATTTGTAAGGTAATATATGAATATCCTCAGGAAATAATAATAAGTAAGATCAGCAGATACTTTTATGGTAATAACATGAGGTTACCCACATCTACTTTGAAAATTTGAAAAAATTTAAAAATAGTGAGCATAGTTACACATAAGTTTTGGGGTGTTTTTCTTTTTTTTTGTTTTTTCAGACGGAGTCTCACTCTGTTGCCCAGGCTGGAGTGCAGTGGTGCAATAATGCAGTGGTGCAATCTCGGCTCACTGAAACCTCCACCTCCTGGGTTCAAGTGATTCTCTGCCTCAGCCTCCCAAGTAACTGGCACTACAGGTGCCTGACACCACACCTGGCTAATTTTTTTATATTTTTAGTAGAGACGGGGTTTCACTATGTTAGCCAGGATGGTCTCAATCTCCTGACCTCGTGATCTGCCCTCCTCAGCCTCCCAAAGTGCTGGGATTATAGGCGTGAGCCACTGTGCCCGGCCAAGTTCTGGGTTTTTAAGAACTACTTCTAATATGAGCAACCCATACATTGGATCAGAATGTGATGTTTTAAGTATCTCAAAATATAAAAATACTTTAGGTTAATATGAAATGATTCCAATAAGTCATCAGCATACTATGTGTCCAATGACATATAAAACATCTGAAAGATCTTCCTTTTAAACAAATATTGGTTAATATTTAATCTACTTTTAAGTACCCACACAAGAAAAAGAACCTGAGGGTATGGCAGCATAAATCTCTTTTTCTAAACTTGGTGCTAAAGAACAAGACTAATATGCATTGTATAAGCTGTATGATGATACTGACAACCTCCGTCTCATGATTGGCCCTTTGGTTTCTCCAAATCAACTTCCTATTGCTGGACTCTGTTATAATAAAGAGGTCCAATGTAAGGCATCTATGAACTCTTCAGTTCCAAGTTTGACAATTAACTTTCTTTACCTTAAAACAGACTCAACAAAAACCCGTAACGCTTTCACATGAATCCATGCAATAAATGCTTCACTAAAATTCACTTTCAGCCACCGCACAAGTGGTCCCTATAAAAAGAAAAAAAAAATTACCACAAATTTGGTCTTAGAAATAGCAATTAGATAAATTTTTTTAAGTGACTACATATTAGGAATCTATAGAAGACTTAAGTCACATAATTCACTTTCTACATGTTTCACTATTATTCTCATTATCTCAGATATTTTACCTTAAATTAGATTAAAAGGTGAGCCACTACTGAGTGATCTCAACAGATGCTAAAATGCATTGAACCAATTCACTAACACAGAAAAAGGTATATATTTTAATAAAAGTAGTTAAACCGGTACAAAATATAGAAATGCCTTAGGTTTAAAAATCAAAATAAAAAGATCTGAATTTACTACACAATACTCTAAAATATTTAATACATGTAAAATAAAATTCAACTTACAAACAACTTCATAACAAAGATAAACAGTTATGTAGGCAAGTCATTTAACAGCCCTAGCTCTTAGTTTTCCCATCTGTAAAAAAGGGAGTTGGTCTAGACATCTAAAATCTCTTTACATTCTAAATTATGTAGTGTAAGTTCTTTTTAAACTTCATATATTTAGGACGATTAAGTGGATTTTAAATACCTTCTCTCTCGATACTTAAAAGACATACATTAACAATTCAGCTAACACTTACTTGGATAACATTATTAGGCTCATTTGGATGTACCAACCAATTAATTAAAGCAAAAAGGATAGCAAAACAAAGTGGAAATCTTTGGTCAAAATATCTATCCTATAAAAGGATTTTGGGTTTTCCCTAAAAAGCTGGTTATTTTGGACATTACTTGGAGGAATTAGTTTCCTCCTAGTTGATATGGCTTATAAAGTACCTGGAAATAATTTTCAGTATATCCCTTCATTTCCTCTCACATTATTAAGAGAAACACATTTTCACTCATGTTTCCCTTTCCAAACAAGCTTTTAGTCTTCACAGTAATCCCACACTTGAAGATGGCAAGAAAGTTAACACCATCTTTCATTTTCACAATTCCACCTGTTTCCCATTACACCTAGAACACACCAATTCTCCAATAATTTCAATACAAATTGCTTCAATAAAAGACTGAGGCATTGAACAAATCTGCCTCAAGAAAGTGAAAAGTCTTACTGAAAAGAACTTTGTTACTTAACTAAAATCTCCCTTCACCTACAAGGACGTTAACCAGAATACTGCATTTAAAATTAATATCTGATATGGATTTAGGTGGAGTAATTTAAGTATGTATTTTAAGGTAACTATTCTATTCGATCTAAGACAGATGTAAGCTTTAGAAGAAAGCTTTCTTAGAAATAGAATAGTTATCTCTAGAATAGTTAAGCTTTAGAGGAAATTCATTCTAATTATTCAATTAAAAAAAAAAAAACTAAAATCAAATGTCTTAAAACCAAAGCAGATTTTTACTTTCTTTTAAATCAAAGGAAAGTAATACCACTTTTTCTTCTGCTTAATGTTGATAATACTAAATATTTAAAACACATACAAATTGTTTTTTCTTATCAGTAGAAAGCCTGTTCATTTCTTCCTTATCTGCTTTCATCTCCTCTTCGTTATACTGGAAGTCACGAACAATGAATCTAAATTTGGGGGGAAAAAACAAAATTGTTCATGTTGTATACAATTGATCTAATAAAGTAAATACACACAAAAATAATCATCTTACTTGTTTTCCCTGGCTTTGTGTCTGAAGTCATCAACTGCCTTCCTAAACAAGGTGACATTACACAGGTAACTGTCTTGGTCCTCTGAAAGAACACTATGGAAAAAAAATAAAAGAAGTCCATTTAAAGATTTATACGTATTGCTGTCTTTCATATTAAGGGCAAAATTCAGAAACAGGTGGAAGAGAAAAGTAGGGTATAATAGCCCTTCCCAAATTACCTCAAAGCTTTTCAAACTGGATTGCCTCAAACACTGAAGACACTGAATGTTTATGATTTATTTTGCTAATGATACTTTTTTTCTTACTAACCAACAAAATTAGACATTAACTCCAGTAAAGCATCCAAACACTAAAAACCACACTTTTCAATCAACATTAGCGCCAGGCTGCTTTGTTTCCAGTGTCTCCTTGATAAGCACACTTTTCTTTTCTGGAAACCTAATTCTTTCTTCCTTTCTCCAGGCCAACTCAGCCCCACTGAGGCCCAGCCTAGCCTCTCTGCATTGCCAGTACATCAAACCTTGGATCTTTCCTTTGCTCCCATGACATCTCTCAATCAAAAACTGACAGGCCAGGTGCAGTGGCTCATGCCTGTAATCCCAACACTTTGGGAGGCTGAGGTGGGTGATTGCTTGAGTTCAGGACTTTGAGACCAGCCTGGGTAACATGGCAAGACTGTGTCTGTACAAAAAATACAAAACCTAGCCAGGTTTGACGGTGCACGCCTGTAGTCCTAGCTACTCAGGAGGCTGAGGTGGGAGGATCACTGAAGCTGGGGAGGTTGAGGCTAAGTGAGCCAAGATTGTGCCACTGCACTCCAGCCTGGGTGACAGAGTGAGACCCTGTCAAAAAAAAAAACAAAAAAAAAACCTGATGAACACAACTGTCTAAATAATCTCTGAATAAATGTGCTTGTATGCATCCCATGGCTCCATTTTAGGCTTCAGAAGGTCCCAGTGAGGTCACAACTTCCATTCAGTCACAGCTCCATGGACATCACTGGAAAGACCTTTCTAGACACAACTGCCAGGAAATTTTAATGGTCATCTAAATCTGTAATACTTTGGGTGAAAGTCCACTGTTTGAAATGGGAATGGTATCGCTTGTGATAGTATGGCCCAAATTTGGCTTTCAGAATTTACCTACAGTGCCTCCTGTATAGAAGTCCTTACGCGAGGTCCACAAGGCTGCACGGGCAGCTGTTCCACAGGGATAACCTTGGGGCAGGGAATGTTACTGAGGGGAGCCTCCTCTCCTTTCTATCTTTCACATATTGGAGGTCTTCTAATGTTTAGTGTTTTTTAAATAGCTTTACTGAGATATAATCGTTATACAGAAGACTGTACGCATTTAATGTCTATCTTAATGTCTATGAAGTGTGGACATACGCATATACCCATGAAACCATCACCACAATCTAGACGATAAACATACCCCTCACTACCAAAAGGGTCCTGTGCCCTTTTGTTGGCTGTTTTCTTTGTTTTTTAATGTTTACTTTTTACTTACAATGTGGTAATTCTGAAATCAGAAAAAGTAAATTTTACAAAATGGAGGAATGCTGGGTAATTTAAAGATACTATATTAAAAAAATTTTTAAAGCAAGTGTAGTTTTTCCTGAAGCCTAAGAACCACCTGGTTAGCCAAGTAAATTCAGGAGGCAACTACAGTGTTTAATCACAGGATGGCTTTAAGTACTGAATCTACCCCACTTCTGATCAGCCAGCCAGCAGGGGCACCTCCCTAGTGAATGACCAGCAGACAGCTCTGGGAGTACTGATCACTGTCATTGCTGACATGCAGAGAAAACGCAAGTACTCTGGGTTTAGAACACTGAAACCTCCTGTTAGACTGTATCTTCTCAAAATGATTACCCTTAGTTCTTGCTCCTGGTATCCATCAAACCCAATGAAGGGCAGCTACCAAGTGGACAGAGCTCGATTAAAAAAGCCGTTTAAGGATCTTCTGCTTTGCCAAGATTTACTCAGTGATGTGTGAACTGCTTGAGATCAAAACAAATCTAAATCTAACTTGCAGGCTATTTCAGAGCCACAAATAATGCTTCACCATTAGCATACTAATCTTTTAGTATCCAACACTTTGCTGTTTTGAAGACCCTTCCAAAAGCATTTGGTGCTTGACATGGCCCTGTGTCAATGAGCAGGTTACCTATTAAACAGGTTCCTAGCTATTGTGCAGAGATCTGGGACACAGCAAATTCCTATGGCTTACTCAAAGTCCTGATGGTGATAAAAGCCAAGATAAAACTTCCATCTCACCTTATAACTAAATCCTACTCTGCCACCTTATTATGAAAAATAAATAAAAGCCACTTGCTTTTTCTCTTTCCCCTAGGGAAAGGTATTTCTTAAAAACTGTATAAAAAAATAAACCACGAGTCCTTACTATAATGGACTTGTAGTCATTTAACATGTACTAAGACTCTGTAATGCAAGTGCTTGCTAGACATTACTATAAAATTAAGACAGCATTTCCTGATCTCCAGGTATGGGTTTAGTAAAGGTAACAGGTAACTGCAATACAGAGTTGTAAGTGCTGCAACAGAAAATATACATGATACACTGGGGAATTAGTTACTTTATCTGAGGGGAGTCAAAGGAGTTTCACCAAAGAGGTGATACCAGGTGGAAGTTTGAAAGAAAGGCAAAAAAGAGAATAATGTTCCAGACAGAACCCCATACGCAAATGAATACAGATGTGGAATAGCATGGTGCATTTGAGGAATTGCAAGAAGTATGTATAACTGGGGATCAGCATAGTAGCTCATGCCTGTAATCCCAGCACTTTCGGAGGCCAAGGCAGGCAGACCACTTGAGGTCAGGAGTTCGAGACCAGCCTGGCCAACATAGTGAAACCTCATCTCTACTAAAAATATAAAAATTAGCTGAGTGTGGTAGCACATCCCAGCTACTTGGGAAGCTGAGGAAGGAGACTCACTTGAATCTGGGAGGCAGAGGTTGCGGTGAGCCGAGATCACGCCTCTGCACTCCAGCCTGGGTGACAGAGAGAGACTGTGTCTCAAAAAAAAAAAAAGAAAAGAAAAAAATATATATATACATATAAGGGTACAAGAAGGGTGTGTGTGTGTGTGTGTGTGTTGAGTGCAGGCAGTCAAAATAGGGAGGGACAAGCAGGGTTTTAGACAGGAAAGTAACACATTTGTATGTCACAAAGATGAAAACAGCAGCAATGTGGAGGACTGATGAGAAGAGAAAATACCGGAGAAAAGGAGACCAGCTAGGGTCAATTACCATGGTCCAGGCAAGGGATGAGGGAGTCAGAGCTGGAGCAGTGGCAGTGGGTCTTGGGGGAGTGGGGAGAGTAGATTTAACCATGTGAAATTGTGGATATTTGACCATTTTTTGACCTACAAAACAGCAATTTTTAATGGTTCAACCAAATACTATGGAAGGTGGAAATGCCACAACTGATTAGACTAATGCAGGCGGGGGGGTCTGTTGGGGAGCTGGGGTGCAAGGGTGAAGGAAGATTCCAAAATGACTATCACACTTGCGGTTTGGATCACTGGGCAGATGTTGCTGCCATATACTTCAAGGCAACGAGAGAGTTTGAGTCTGAGATTGGGGTGTCAGTTACCTAGGAAATACCACATGGAGTGGTCCAGTAGGAACCCAGGTATGTGAGTTTGCAGGTAGGGGGAAAGCTGGCCACAGATAAAGATTTAGGAGTCCGAAAACTGCAGTTGAAGTTAGAGCCATGGGTGTGGTTGAAGTGATACTGACAGGAGAACAGACCATCTCCTTCAGAAACTCTGAAACATAGAGAAACTCCTGGACAGTGGCCAGTATCATTTTTTCTGCACTTCTTAGCTAGGCTGTTCTGCTTCACTGGGGACTTCAGATCTCTCAACAAAAACTTCTGTGAAGCACCCATGAGTTTGTGATGTTGCTTCCAATGACAGAGAAAAGGCAAAAGTTAACCAGTGATCTGACTCATTCAGACTATTTTAATAAGCAAAAGTAGACAAAAAATAAAAAAATTTAAAAAAAGGATAGTGGTAATTCTGAAAGGACAAGTGAAAAGCACCTCTTTCTGAACAGTGTTTCTACAAAAAAAAAAGCAGAACAGCAACCCAGCCTCCACTTCTTTGTCCACAGCCTTGACATGGCATTTATACACATTGCTGCATTTAGCCTCACAGTAACGGTAGTATTTCAAAACTGTCCAATCTTTGTAGAACATTTTACAAATAGTTATATTTTGTGAATTTTAAAATTCTTTCAGGTTTGAGGACAGTTAGAATAACAGATTGAAAAATATTAGATTGGATATTAGAGTGAATATTTTTCAATCGATTCTACCTCAGAATTCCACTTTCATCTTCACTACTCCCAACAATAATCACTCAAGTTATCATGCCAAAAAGTAATGTTACTACCATAATTAACTAACTTGTGTAAAGCACATAGAACAATGACTAGGCTCATAGTAATTACTCAGAAATGCTGGGTGTGATAAACCAAAAATTCAGCATCAGGTCATAGAGATCTTTCCTAAATGGCAGACAAAATTCCAGGCTCACTCAAAAAAGCCTATTTGCCCCTACATTAACTGCACATACTCTTAATGGTGCTATTTAAGCTAGTGCTATGTGGTCTCTGACCAAATTTAAACAGGTAAGTTTTTGAGTCAGTGATTCCAAATGTACTTTGAACTGAGAAATAGGTAGAACAGATGTTTTCACTGAGCAAGGAAAGGCTGGGAGCTCTCAGAAGATTAGTGTGCACTTACAAGTCATTTGCAAACAAGTCTTGACTGCATTAAACTGTTCCCTGCCTGAAATTTGCCCTTTAAACTACTAAAGTGACTGTCCAAAGATCTAAATCTCTGATGGAATATTTTTAAAGTCCTTCTATCAGAGTAAATCTGAGCTTACTTAATGAGCCTACACACCATCCCCCGGACATCTGGGTTGGCGTATGTCCACCTCTGGAGGACATTCTGTGTGCACCGGGTCCTCATTCTCCTCCTCCACCTGCCTCCTAGACACAGAGTCTATCTCTATGGCTCTAATGCCCTACAGATCTGTCAGTATCAACAGCCTAAGTGAGACACTAATATGAAGACATAACTGTAGTCTTCAGGTTACCATGTGAAGAATGAAGGTATTCCCCCAAATGAAAAAAAAAAAAAAAATTCACAATGAGCACAAGTTTGTTGTTTAGTTCCTAAAAGATCAACATTTGTGAAAATACAGTAACATTATCTTGTATTTTGAATACTTCATCAAGCCTTAAAATATCTTCAAAATATATACAAGGAAGGGGCTATGCTCATTTATAGACAAAGAAAATGAGGCCAGAGAAGTTAAAAGACTTACCCCAGGTTACACAGCAAGTTGGTAGCAGAACTGAGGCAGGAGAATAGGGTCTGGAGGCAGGGAACCTAAGGTGGTTTCACCCCGATTTCCTAGAACTAAATTGAAAGGAAAACCCTAACTTTCCATGCCTAAGTAACAAAAGGACCAGAGGCTACTCCTTTTGACCTTTCCTGCATGGCAGATGGGAAATTCACTGTCTGCAACAAATCAGACTGATTCCAGGCCAAGTCTTCATTTGCAGAGAAGTATAACTTTGTTACCTCCACCCTAGCTTCTGATTGGTTGTTTTCTGCAACCAATCAGATGTTTGCACAGGAGTGTGACCTTTGTGACTTCACTTCAGCCTCTGGTTGGCTGCTTTCTGCAACCAATGAGACTGACTGCAGGCTACCACTTCATTTACATGAGGTGAGCATGAAGTGGCCAATGGGAAACTTGTAGGAGTTATCCGGACCCAAGAAGATTCTGTATCCGGACTTGAGCCACTGCTTGGGTTCGCTCTTACACTGTGGAGTGTACTTTCTTTCATTTTTAATAAATCCCTGCTTTTGTTCTTTTGTTGCTTCATTCTTATTTTGCTTTGCTGGGCATTTTGTCCAATTCTTTGTTTAAAACACCAAGAACCTGGACAACCTGAAGTCACAACCCTACCGCTGACAGACCCTACGAGTGACAGATTCTACCAGTCATAGAACCAGCAATAGAACTCAGATCCCTGGGTCCAGGACTCTTTCCATTATACTAAGCTACTTCCCACATGACACAATGAAACTGGAAAAGAAAATATTTCACGGGCCTGACCTTACTAATTCCACTTCTTGACTACCTCCTATTTCTTCTACCCTGCTGCCTCCCCTTGAAGCATATATGTATCTATAAGAATCCTTTGGGGTGGAGATACACTGTATTTATATTTTTTCAAAGAATGGGTGGAGATACACTGTATATTTTCTCAAAGAATATCTAGTGTGGCAATGGCAGAACATGGAAAAATGACATGGAATAGTGTAAAAAGGGTACAGGACCTGGAGCTAAAAGATGTGAGTTCTAGCCCTAACTCTGCCATTGGACGCTTTACACAGCCATATGCCTCAGGGAACTATTTAAGCATTTTAACTTCTTCTTCCATGAGAATAAGAGTGATACCTGTCCATGCTTCTTCACAGACTTGTAAATTTCAAATTAGGCAATGCATGTTAAATCTATAAATTTAAAAAGTGTTTAATAAAAACAGGTTTGTTTTTTAAATAAAAGGAACATACAGATTGGGTAAAATCTAAGCTCAAAGTGATGGAGAACATCTGGAGATCAATACAGCAGTCCAGTAGCCATTCTGGTACACTTCCTTTGCCAAATAAAATGAGGAATTATAGACACATAGTAGGTATGCAATAGTGAATAAAGAATTTTCAAAAGGCAGCACAGTGAGGCAGAAAAAGTACCACACCAGACACCTAGGTTCTAGTTCTAGCCCTGCCACAAACGAGATGTGTGACCCTGGGCAAACTATTAATACCTCACCGGCCTCAAACTTCTAAGTCTATAAACAGGAGGCTGTCAAACAGACTGTGCCAAGTCCCTTCTAGGTCTAAAATTATTTCAACTAGAGTTCACAGAACTCACTCATGAGGTTAATTTATCACAAAAGCAAGACAGCAAACATATTTCCTCAGCCAACATCCAAACTCTGAAAGGAATTCTAGGAACCAAATGGTTTTACAAAAACTTCTACTTACTTGCTAGACCTTGGAACTACCATTTCGGCTAGTGTTTCATACTGCTTAATCCAGTCATTGTGGTTTAACCTGCAGGAAAGGTACAATACACATTGGAAAAGAAAAACAAGTCCTATTTCCTGCCATATCAAGGAAGAGAAAAAATTATGTGACAAATAGGAAATCTGGCTATAGCAAGTATACTCCAACTCTATGTAACAAAAAAAAATTCAGGATTCCTACTGAGAATGAATTTCCAATACACTGAGTAATGCAGGAAATACAGATCACCACCCTACCTCCAGTAACTATTGCAAAAGAGGCACATCCTAGAACTACGTTTGACAAGGAAGTAAAAGCACAGTATAGATCGTAAATTATTTTCAAGCTGCATAGTTCATACGTATAGTGCCTCATTTTTAAAAAATGGTCATGCTAAAATCACTATCACTCCTGCTCAGTGGCAGTTATGAAGGACTGAAAAAAACTGTATTTATGGAAAGCACAGAGTACCATGAGGTAGTAAGTAAATGAAATGACAGTAAACTATGTTGCCACAAAGTATTGTGCAACAACCACCTCTAGAGGCCACTGGCTTCCCGGGGTGTGGGGAGAGACAACAATGTTTGAGATTGAAAACAAATAATTATAGTGTTTATAGGCCAGGATAGAGAATAATTCATCATGTAAGATGTCTTAGGTCCTATGTTTCAATTACAAGGTACAGAAAACCATAAAAATTTCTGGTTTTGACCTCGAGTTTTAAATAAAGGTTGAATGAGTCAAATATTTTATCTGGGCAAAAGTTATTTTCCTACATAGTATAAAAAAGCACAGATACATAGAATTTGTTATAATTAATCAGTGTTTCAGTGTAGCAGAGGGGACTTATGTAACTAGAACACAAAATAAAACTTCTGGAGTGAAATCCTCAGATTTAAGGCCTTCTCCCTCTGCAAAGAAAAATCCAAAAGGTAGCATACTGCAATAAAGGGGGAAAAATGCAGAACTGAGACAATATTGTAGCCACTGCAAATTCCACAGAGGCATCATTTTCTAGTACTCCCAATCTCTGAACCAGATAAAAATGCAGAGCACAGCAAGGAAGTCTTCATGCAATGATACTCTGAAAAAGACCCAAACCTCCCACCTGAGTTCGGATCCCCCAAACATTCCCTGATAGCAAGACTTCAGTGTAAGTCAAAAGTGAAACCATTAATAGTGCTATACAGACATGCACAGAGTCCAGGTCTTCCTACAAGTACCCAAAGGTTTCACTTCATTTCATTCAAGATTAACTATGATCAAATATTAAATAACACAGAAAGCCTAATCCTAAGGAGATATCAAAGGTTGTCTAGTCCAGTGGTTAGCAAACTATGCGCATAGCCAAGCCTGTTTTGTAAATAAAGTTTTATTCAAACAGCCACATCCATTCGTTTATATATCATCTATGGCAACTTAAGCTATAACCACAAAGTTGACACAGTGGAGTAGTTGTGACAGAGATCACATTGTTTACAAAGCCTACAATACTTACTGTCTAGCCCTTCATAGAAAAAAGAATTGCTAATCTCTGCTCTAATCCATTCTTTGTGTCTTACAGTGCTTAATTCATCCTAACCAGTCATAAAGAATTTTTTGGGAAAAAATGCAAAGACCTTCCTATTTTGAGAAATCTAAAATCTGTATTTATTAAACAATCAATAATTTAGCATTACTTAATGTTTGAATGAGCCAACTCTACCAAGCTGCTAAATTTGATTTGGAAACTCAATTTATAATTGAAGTCTCCATTGCTAGGTTATGATCTAATTTCTACTTTATGTGCCACATGAGCAAATGCTGATTGACTGAATGAATGGCAAGGTTATATTCCTTTTACGCTTGGATTTTATGGAAAACTTCAAACTACAATACTAGATACTAACATTTTTCTTGTATTTTAACAAGTAAAACCTTTTGTAATAGAAAGACTTACTTGGGAACTACTACCAGTAATGTGACGAGATACTCTGAATCAAGAACAAAGTCATCCTTCTTCACAATTTCTGCTAGACTTCTAGTTAGCAAACTTCCTCTGAGGAATTAAAAAAAAAAATCATTAGGCTGATAATTATGTGCTTCTGTAACACAAGTAAAGAAACAGCAGGCTAATCATTTTCACATATACTATATATACATTGAGAGGGATTAGTCTTAGTTAAGAGTTTTACTTTGTAAGGAGTCATCATTTAGCTGAATATATCCTACCCTGGCAACCAAGGAAATATCTTCTATCAAAATTTGCCTCTAGTGTTTTGTGTTTGCTTTAATTATTATAACTCAGCTCTTCTCTTGCCTACATATATAATATCTTGACTGGAAAAGTGCTATCTACTCATTAGATATCAATTAAAGTCTATTCTATCATATAATTATGAAATTATGTCATCTAAGCACAACACCTTCGGTATTCTTCCCTCACTTGGGTATTATTTGATACCAGGCAATTTTGGTAGCTAACCCAATAATTAACTCTTTCAAATCAGTCTTCATTTGCCTTCCAGTAATCACTTCGCTATAATAAATATGTCTTGCCCTGTTTGTATCACTCATAGTATCCAACCAACTTTCCCTCTAGGATATGAAGGCACAACTTGAATACTTTCATGCTTAAAGCTGCACTTGTAGTAGTCATAGTATGAGGGGATCAACCAAAACAATTCAGTCCTGTTTTTAAAAACCTAATGAGTGAAAAACCTAAACTCTGAAAACAGATAAGAGAATGATTGTTACATCATAAAAGGATTATTATATAGTTAAGCGATAGGTAATTACTATGCAGTTAAACTATGATTTCATTTAAAACAATTAATTTTAGACTATTTTTCAATGAAATATCAAACGGATAAAGGGATAAGCCAGGACCCAGTTCACAAGTATTATTTATAAAACAAGTATAATAAATCAGCCTCACATCTGTTTTGACTAGTCTGAACTCTATAAACTTATCTTAGTGAGCTTTTCTCCATGAAGTAAAAGAAATACCATTTTGATTACAGAAACAACATAAACTGAAGCTAACTAAATCCCAAAAATATCTCCTTCGGTGTATGCTAGTGTGCTTCCTGAGTTCTTAATACTCAAATATACTTGATCTGCTTACGCATTCTTTCGTTCCAAATTCTGAAGATTTCCTTTCAGGTTATTGTATGCAGATGCTCGAGATTTCAGGTCATTATCAATCTGAGTTACTCCCTTCAAAAAAAAAGAAGAAAAATAGACAAAATTTTCCTAAATCTGCCTCTACTAATACTAACAAAGTAGCTAAACTTTAACTTCTACAAAAAAACTCACTAGTTTCTAGTGTAAGAATATTCTATTATTTTAAAAGCACGACTTTAGGATATCATTTTAAAAAGTCTACTTCATTTTTAATATAATTTCCACATAAATCTTTTCTACTAAAAATAATGTTTTAGTCCACATGTATTTTAATTATTATTATATTACTTCTTAAACCATGGAAATGGAATCTAGGGTACTGGGTTTGGAGATTACTAATTACAAGGCTTCAATTCACAAGACTGAAGGATATTTTCCAAAATAAACTAAATTACATGAAGACTTTTAATTATTGCAAACATCACTATTACATAGAATATTTTTCTATGAAATTAAAATTATAGTTGCATCTATTCATAAATGTTACAAAAGCTGCTTTTTCAAACGAATACTAAACTAACTACATAGGGAGAAAATGTGAAGTAAACAATATTTGAAGAACTGACTTTAACACAGTTCTAGCATTATTAGCTGCGTAGCATGAGGGTAAGTCACTTCACGTCTCTAAGCCTGCTTCCCTATCTACAGCAGCATCAGGGAGCAAATGATCTAATCCTTAAGGATCCAGAAAACAAGGCTCAGTCACAGTAAGAACACCACTTTATATTATCAAATAATGTAAATAATAGTTTCTTAAACTATAGTCATCAAATTATATGATGACTTTAGTTGAAATCTTTGATAGTCTATTTATTTACATTTAACTATGTAACACACTGTACAACTAAAGTTATTGGGAACAAAGGAAAGTCTGTCCAATAATTTAAACTACACTTCTTGCCCCAGCCAGGTCAATAAGAATGCTGGCAAACAATTAACAGATCCTAGTCTATTTGTCTCATTATAGTTACTGTTAAGACTTTTATTCCACAAACAGATCTTGGGGGAAAAAACAGACTTTTACATTTCTTCTCAAGTTCAAGGATTTCTCAATATAAAAGGAGCTCTTGGTGAGTTCATGCATCGGCTTCAAGGTCCATGTACTCGCTGAAACTACATAAAATTATGTGGCACCTGAATAGGGGAATTTTTCCAGGCAGAGGATCAAAACTAAATAGTCGGAAGGGGTCAGAGAACCCATAGGGTTTAATGTTTGAACAAGTACACTATGCACACAAACATACTTCAGTGACCACTATCACCTACCTGAATGACTAAGAAATCTTAATAGACTCCAATTTCCTATTCTACACAATCTCAGGTACCCTTAAAATTTGTATAAATAATACAGAATTTTCATACTTTCTTAAACACTGTTGATGTAATATTCAAGTTAATTACATAACTAAGTATACAACTTAGATAATCTACACATGAAAGTGTTATACTTTTAACACCTTTTAATGTCTAAAGTTGTAGTAAGGATACCCTCTATCTGTGACATATAACTAAGTTGCCTTATCAAAACCTAAAAAGTATTTCATAGTGAAATTATAAAATAAGCAAAGTCACTATAAATCAATGTGTCCTACTTGTCTCAAGTATTATCTTACCTTGGCAATTATTTCAGAAATATTTTTCAGGGACTGCTTGATTGGATATTTGGCCATGTCCCACTGGAACCTTGTTATATAAGTAACCAAGTCCACTGAAATAAGGGAATAAACTAATTACTGAAGAGAAGCAACAGAATTGTTCAGTTTTTTACACAGCAATATATTTTAACGCTGAAATCGGCATTGAGGAAATCAGCAAAGATGTCATTTCTGAAGAATCCTGATTAAATGTGAACTATATTAAGTAACATGGATTAATCAAAATTTCTACCTTGTAATCTCTTCTTCTTACTCAAAATTTAATACAAATTAAGATGCTCCTTCTAATTTGATTACTTTAAAAATGAAGTATGTACATATTGCTAATATGCTTCACACGTAGGAGAGACACACAAAGATTAAGAAACTACTTCAAATTGCCTCCTCGATAAGTAGAATTTCACAAAAGTATGTTCTTTCTTTGATAACTTACCCAAGCAAACTGAAAATAAACTTGTCTGTTAAAACCATGTGATGACTGTTTCCAGGAGTTCACATTTTAACAATTTTCAAAACATGGACCCTTTCACTTTCAAATGGCAAGAATAAAACATGTAGAGCTAAAAAAATACTCAACAACTTATTCCTTGGAAGTTTAGTAATCAAAGTGACTTCACCCCTAACTGGATCAAGGACAGAGAAACCAAATGGCAATTATGGCAGCACTCACTGACAAAAGTAATTCATATAAAAATACCTTTCTCTTCTCAATATCTCCTTACATAATACCAGTGAGTCAACAACACAGATGGTATTTCCGAAAGCAACTCTATCTAGATGCACTGCCCCTCTTGGTCAACCACCATTCTACCTACTAGACTGACTGCCCTAGTTCATAAAATACATAGAAGATCAGTAAAGACAACACAAATTAACTTATTAATATCTAACATACCTTCTGTTCTTTCTCGAAACACAAATTAACAGACACAGTAAACAATGAGATCAGAATTACTTTGATAACAAAGAGCAAGAATAAGTTACTACATTTTTAACTGATTAAATATTTATTGAGCAGCTATTATTTGCAAGAAGAAATGAGATTTCAGGAACACTGGATTTAAAATATAGTAACCTTATCAGAGTAGGCGATCCCGTAGAGAATGAAAGGAAAGCGTTATTTCCTTCTTTTTTTTTTTTTTTTTTTTAAGAGACAGGGTCTTGCTCTGTCACCCAGGCTAGAGTACAGAGGTACAATCATAGCTCACTGCAGCCTTGAACTCCTAAGCTCAAGCAATCCCCTCTCCTCAACCTCCTGACTAGCTGAGACTATGGGCATACGCCACTACATTCAGGTAATTTTTTTCTTTTTCTTTCTTTCTTTTTGTTTGGGTTTTTTAGAGACAGGCTCTCCCTACGTTGCCCAGGTTTGTCTTGAACTCCTGCACTCAAGCGATCCTCCTGCCACAGCCTCCCAATATGCTGGGATTACAGGCGTGAGCCACCATGCCCAGCTCATTATTTCCTATTATAATGACATATCACTAAAGATGGGTTTAATTTTAAATGAAGTAAAATGCTAAAATGACATTTCACAAGAAAATAAGAAATGCAAGTACAAGTGAAAACAATGGGGTCAGAATCATCTTTATAAAGTCATTACTACATAGAGCAAACTCTATATAAATACTGGCTTCTATCTACAGAGAAGTCAGTAAGCTATTTTATAGGTATTAAGTAAAGAAATGCCAAAATCATATTGGGGGGAGGCACTATTCTGCAATAAAACTAATAATTTCTGTTCTAAGGCTTTAACAGCTATATACTATGAAATACAAAAACCTACATATGACAGCAGGTATTCAACTGGAACAATGCTGAGATACACAACTTGGAAACTTGTAAATGAGTGAACAAATAGGTCCTGGAAAGAACTAAGGCAAATCTTTACAATACTGCTCTTGCAGGGGACTTGGCATCATATCATAAGCCATATTATATATTATGTAAGACTGTCTTCTACTAGATTATGTTTCAGGGAACAGGATGTACCTGGAAGTATCACCAAATTCAGTAATAATTGTACTTTAATGGCTTTCTATTGTATTTAGTGTCCTTTTCTATAGACTTTTTTACATTACTTTTTGTTTCTGTAGCTTAGTTATTCACTTTATATGAGTTAATAATGATCAATCATGAGCATTAGCTTACCTCCATTAGCCAACAGATTCTCTTGAACTTTGTCTTTACTATCTTCCAATACATCAGCCATGTATTGAGCCACTTTCTTAACCACTCTGAGGAGGAAAAAAAATTAACCATTTTAAGGAAAAAGATCTAAATTGCATTCTATATGATGAACATATTATATAAAGACATGAGTTTGACTATGTATGTTCCCATTATACCTATCCATATAATATACAATAAATGGATTTTACCTTATAATGTTTTAAGGATAAAATGGACCAAGATTTTGTTACATGCAAAAGTCAACTGAGTAACTGTAAAGTTTTAAGGAGACTACATGCAGTGTGTCTACTAGTCTAGAAAGAAAGTGGTGGGAAGCTAGTGAGAAACAGTCTGTAAAGAGGCATATATTTATACGCCAAAAACTGGACAATGCAAGGACCAAGAACAAAGGAGGCGGCCGAGAACTAGCACTCACCATGTTCCTGCGACATGCAAGACACTGTGGTTTCCCTTAGGAAAAAAGGGATCTTACAGGCAAGAGAACGTAAGCAATGGTCATGATGAAAAATTAGGTCCTACATTATTAATTAATTGTTTATTGAGCATCTACTATCTACAAGGAGCTATGCTATAGAGGAAGCCATAATGCCAAAACTATTAGGTTGGCGCAAAAGTAATTGTGGTTCTGGCCATTACTTTAGAAACAAAAAAATGGCAAAAACTCCATTACTTTTGCACCAACTTAAACCAAGGCACCTACATATGACCTTGTCAATTCTTTCATTTATAAGACACTGAGGTATGAAAGAATAAGTGACTTATCCAAAGTCACAAGACCAGTTAATGTCAAAGACGTGACTAGAAACACATTGTCCTGACTTTGGAGTCCAGCGTTCTCTTCCTCATTCCATGTCTGCCTCTAGGCCCTGGGTGGGGTTCAGAGTCACACAAGACAAAATCACTACCTTCACACATTGCTTAAAATCTCACTGGAAAGATACAAAAATATATAAATTACTAAATATAAAGCAATCTGAGGTCAGTGCCAGCTGAGATTGCCAGGCTGCAGACAGAGAGAGATAAAAGGAAAAGGGATCACTTGCAGCTACTGTAGTCAAGAAAGCCCAAAGGCTCATGAGCAGGGCAATGAAGGACAGAAATGGTTTTACAAGGATGATTACCTGGGACGAAAGCATATTCTTGCCATGGGGCATAATGTGAGTCAAGATAAGAGGTGGAAAAGCAGTTGGCATCCAGATAATGGTGAGGAGTCCAGACTGATGGGAGCCACAGGCTGAGAAGTAGGGAGGGAAGCTTAGGCTAGGAAAGCGGGATGCCAGATTGCAGATATATAGCCTCTGAAGCCACACTCTAGACAGGGACGTAACACAGTTGAAACAGGGCTCAGGACAAGTATTCTGATGACTATATGCTCAACAGCTAGGAGGGGAAACTGGAAGCCAAATTAAGAAATTCCTGTAATGGTTTTATTTTTTTCTTAAAAAAGTGTGTGTGTGTGTGTGTGTGTACATATATATATTTTTTTTTTTTTTTTTTTTTTTTTAAAGAGAGAGTCTTGCTCTGTTGCCCATGTTGGAGTGCAGTGGTGCCATTATAGTGCATTGCAGCTTTGAACATCTGGGCTCAAACGATCCTCTTGCCTTGGCCCCTCAAGCAGGAGGGATTACAGGTGTGAGCCACAGAGCGTGGCTTGTTGACAGTTTAAATGAGGGCCAATACGGGCCAGGAAACGTGATAGAAGAGCTAAATTTAAATGACAATCCTATGCTGAGTGGTCTCAAACCTAAAAATTAGAACAATTTCAGAAATAATGATGTAAGTCATAAGTCTTCAACATGTTTAACTTGAGGTTTGTACATACATTTGCCTATGTCTCCAAAATTCACCCATTCCTTCAAGAGGGACAAATCATTCTCATAAAATTTGACAAGCATCTTGTAAACAGAACCATTTGCTATGAACATTCTAAAATGTTGCATGTTTACCCATAGAAGTACTTTAGCGTGTAGAATCATCTGGTGTCAAATTTATAAACTTAACGTCGCATAATCCACAACTTCGAGATCTCCCTAAGCCTATTTACAAGAGGATCTGTGTCAATGTACAAAATGTCACCTCAAAAATATCTGCTCCAATGATTACATTTTTAAGAAAGTACAAACTATGATTTGCCACATATACCATATTCTACAATGTTTGGACTTTAACACTTGGAGCATTTAAGTCATTCATTAAGCTATCATCTGTCAACACTACCAAAGTCTAACAACAACAAGATTTTTAAATTCCTCGTATCTTTCAGGAGGACTGAAGAAGATGCGCTTGTGGAACAATGCAGAAAAGAACAGCTGACACACTGCACGGGTAACTTTAAATTCTACTCACCAAACTAACTACATTTGCCCTTAATACTTTCCAGATTCCTTCCCTAAAAAATCTGAGCCAGCTGGGCACAGTGACTCATGCCTGTAATCTCAGCACTTTGGGAGGCTGAGGTGGGAGGATCACTTGAGGCCAAGAATTTGAGACCAGCCTGGACAACATAGCGAGACCCTGTCTCCACAAAAATAAAAATAAAAATAAAAATATTAGCTGGGTGTGGTGGTGCAAGCCTATAGTCTTAGCTACTCAGGAAACTGAGGTAAAAGGATCGCTTGAGCCCAGGAGTTCAAGGATGCAATGAGCTATGATTGCGCCACTGCACTCCAGCCTGGGTGACACCAAGACCCTGTCTCTAAAAAAGTAAATAAAATTTAAAATCTGGGCAAACTTTAAATTATATTCAGGACATCCCATTAACAATTTAAAGAAAGAACTATAAAGCCATCAAGGTGACTGACATGGGTACAAATAAATGTTAATAATTATATTCTCAGGGACCTCCTTTCTCAGTGTCTCTTTGGTTGTCATAACTTGTAACTCTAATGAGGTAGATGAGACCTCAGGGAAGACTCACTCCAGGGATGACAACTGAAAATAAAGTTTCCTCAAATTTTTTTCTCAATTAAAAATGTGTAAGCAAGAAACCAAGAGACTATTCTTTCCATCAGTTCGTGCTTTGAGTGTATCATAATTATTTTCACTATATGTATAATAATTCATAATACTCATTTGCTCTATATGAATATATGGAATTATAATCCTAAAAGTTGCTTTTCCTTTCATCTTCTCTTTTCCATTCTAATGACCAAGTGTCTGGCCCCAATTGAGCTTTTACTATCTCTTAACTTATCTACTGTGAAACTGTCTGCTAAGTGGCCTTCTTGATTCCAATATTAAAGATCATCAATACATCCTTAGATCTGTTTACTTCCTCACTACATGGTGTTATGTTTAAAGATCTCTCTCTCTGCAACCCTGACCTCAGTCTCTATTGCCACAGCGTCGCTTTGAGGTGGTTCTATCAATTCAGAAAAGCATTTTAACAGCAGAAATGAGAAAATCTTCCATATAGATTTCACAAAAAAATTTCCTCCTATCCAAGCCTATTATTCCCTTAAAGCTTCTATCGAATGTACATTTCTAAGATTCTCCAAATTCTGTATTTTACAAATTACACCTATGTATCTAAACTCTAAGATAAAAGCTTTGTATCCCCAGAGGTGAAGGAACTGTAGATTGATTCTGCCAACTAATCAAAAAGCAGCTATCAAATAGCCTATAACCATTTTCAGCTCAAATACACATGTACCTGAATTTCAAAAGTAATAAAAACTGCAGTTTAGAAAAATTCTTCCAACTGAATTTTGAAGACGAAAGCATAGCCATCTTCAAATAAATGGAGTAATATCCCATGTTCATGGATCAAAGACAATAATGTTAGGATGATACCATTCCCCAAATTGATACATAGATTCAACACTATCTTCATCAAAATTCTAGCTGACTTATATGCAGAAGTTTGACACTGTGATCCTAAAATTCATACAAAAAGACAAAGAACCCAGAATAGCCAATCTTGGGAAAAAAAAAAAAAGTTGGAGAATTCATACTTTCTGATTTTAAAACTTACTACAAAGCTACAATAATCAAGACAATGTGGTACTGGCATAGAGAAACATAGATCAATGAAACAGAACTGAGAGTCCAGAAATAAACCCTCATATTACGTTCAATTGATTTTCAGTAAGGGTTCCAGGACAATTCAGTGGGAAAAAACAGTCTTTTCAACAAATGGTGCTGGGACAACTAGATATTCACATTCAAAAGAATCAAGTTGGACCCTTACCTCACAACATACATAAAACTTAACTCAAAATGAATCAAAGACCTCAATGTGAAAGCTAAAACTGTAAATCTCTTAGAAGGAAACATAGACATAAAACGATACGACCCTGGATCAGACAATGGTGCCTTAGACACAATGCCACAAACACAAGCAACAAAAGAAAAAAATAAATTGGACTTCATCAAAATTTAAAACTTTCATGTTTCACAGGACACAATCAAGAAAATGAAGACATGGCCAGGCACGGCAGCTTATGCCTGTAATCCCAGCACTTTGGGAGGCTGAGGCAGGTGCATCATGTCAGGAGTTCGAGACCAGCCTGTCCAACATGGTGAAACCCCATCTCTACTAAAAATACGAAACTAAGCTGTGCGTTGTGGCAGGCACTTGTAATCTCAGCTACTCGGGAGGCTGAAGCAGGAGAATCGTTTGAACCCAGGAGGCGGAGGCTGCAGTGAGCCGAGATCTCGCCACTGCACTCCAACCTGGTTGACAGAGCGAGACTTGTCTCGAGAAAAAAAAAAGGAAATGAAGACAATTCACAGAATAAGAGACAATATTTGCAAGTTATATGTGATAGGGGATTTATATCTAGCATATTCTGTATAAAGAACTCTTACAATTCAATAACAAAAAGACAAGCCAATTAAAAATGGGCAAAGGATCTGAACAGACATTTCTCCAACGAAGAAAAACAAATGGCCAAAAAGCACATGAAAAGATACTCAACACATCACATCACATCAGCCAACAGGGAAATGCAAATTTTTTTAAATGAGGTATTATCTCATACTCCCTGGGATGGCTATAATCAAAAAGACAAATAGTAACAAGTGCTGACAAGGATGTAGAGAAATGAGAATCTTCAAACACTGCTGGCAGGAATATTAAATGGTGCAGCCACTCTGGGAAACAGTTTGTCAGTTCCTCAAAAAGTGAAACATAAAGTTACCATATGACCCAGAAATTCCACTCTTAGGTACAAACCCAAGAAAAATGAAGATATTTAAGAATACAAACTTGTACACAAATGTGCACAGCAGCATTATTCTTATAAGCCAAAAAGTGGAAGCAAAAGAAATGCCCATCAACTGATGAATGGATTAATGTGGTAAGTGTGTGTGCACATATATAGTGGAATACTATTTAGTAATAAAAAGAAATGAAATACTGATACATGCAACAGCTTGGATAAACTTCAAAACATTATGCTAAGCAAAAGAAGACAGTCACAAAAGACCATGTATTGTATTCCATTTACAAGAAATGTCCAGACCAAGCAAATCTATAGTGGCAGAACAATTTGTGGGTGGTGGGGACAGGAAGTGACTGCTCATGGGCATAGGAATAGAGGATGATGAAATATTTTAAAATGACTGTGGCAATGGTTATGCAAGTCTGAATACACTAAGAATCATTGAATTGTACACCTGTAAAGGTGAAATGCACGGCATGTAAACTATATCCCAATAAAGATAGTAAAAAGAGAATCAGCATTTTCATATTTCAAACAGGTGCATTTTATAGTATGTAAATTGTACCTTCATAAAATTGATATACAAAAGGAAAAAAGTCATTGTTTTCTAAAACCATTCCAGTAAGCAGAGTACACATGTGATAATAGACGCAGTGTCCACGGAGCCTGATAACACTGTCTCCCATTTTGCTCTACTCCATGCATGTAAGTACATTACCCTTCTACAAATGCATCCAGTTTAGCCAGTTCATCTGACAAGCCAACCAAGACATCCAGCGTGCCAACCTAAAAGGAAAATATATTCTGTTATTTAGCTGGCATCCTTTTTTAAAAAATACAAGCTGATACATCTTGACTTAAAGTTCTTGCGAATCTTAAATTCTCCCTATTTTATTTCATAATGTGTAAGTATGTTAAAAGATGTTTGCCAGACATTTCAAAGCTATTTATATGTACAAGATAATCCTTTAATTCATGGGTACAAGCACCACTTAAGACTTGAAGACTCCTCAAAGACAGGTCTGTGCTTGTACTATTCAATGACACTGGATCATCTGAAATCTTAGTTTACAACACAGGCTCTCGAGTAGGAGGTCCACAGATATGTGCTAGAGGGTCTGTAATTAAATTGGCATGCAAAACTGTGCACAGTGAGTACGTTTTGGAGGAAACGTCCTGTCTCAAAGGTATCCGTAACTCCAAAAATATTAAGAATTGGTCATTTTATTGTATTTATTTATTTATTTATTTATTTATTTATATTTTTGAGATGGAGTCTCGCTCTGTCACCCAGGCTGGAGTGTGGTGATCTTGGCTCACTGCAACCTCCGCCTCCTGGATTCTAGCGATTCTTCTGCCTCAGCCTCCCAAGTAGCTGGGATTACAGGCGCCTGCCACCACACCTGGCTAATTTTTGTATTTTCAGTAGAGACTGGGTTTCACCATGTTGGCCAGGCTGGTCTCAAAATCCTGACCTCAGGAGATCCGCTTACCTCAGTCTCCCAAAAGTGCTGGGTTTACAGGCCCCACCGCACCCCACCAAGAATCAGTCATTTTAAATATTTCTTAAATGAATGTTGCCTACGACTCCCTCATTCAGTTAACTAGCAAAATGTCAGTATCATGATCTTTTCTATTCTTTACAAATGTTCCATCAACTGATTACTGGATACCTGCTTCACTTTGATGTTGCTAGATTACGAATCTTTAATACAGTAAATCTTAAATAGATTAACCAGATTAAATAACTGGGTTAGATTTGTCAAGTATGATTAAGTAGGTGCTATGGTAACACATTTACAATGTAAGAATCAGTGTAACATAAATTTTTTAACAACTTCACTATGATATTTAAGAATATATACTACTAAGAGTTTTAATTTCTGAAAATGGTATTTGTGAATGTAATACATCAAACATTTTCATAAGATTTTTCATTGCAATTTAGAAGAGCACAGAAAGCCTGAGAGACGTTATTTCAATTTGGTAGTTTACTTCCAGTATTTGTTTTTTTTTTTTTTTGAGACGGAGTCTCGCTCTGTCGCCCAGGCTGGAGTACAGTGGCCGGATCTCAGCTCACTGCAAGCTCCGCCTCCCGGGTTCACGCCATTCTCCTGCCTCAGCCTCCGGAATAGCTGGAACTACAGGCGCCCGCCACCTCGCCCGGCTAGTTTTTTGTATTTTTTAGTAGAGACGGGGTTTCACCGTGTTAGCCAGGATGGTCTCGATCTCCTGACCTCGTGATCCACCCGTCTCGGCCTCCCAAAGTGCTGGGATTACAGGCTTGAGCCACCGCGCCCGGCGGCTTCTAGTATTTCAAAGAAGATACATTGTAAATCATGCCAATGGCTGGAGAGGAGGTTTTCTTTGGAAGGAACCTGGGTATCTCATTTCCACTAACAGAGAGAACTGGCCCTCCCCTGAATGATGAACTCATATGCAATTCTGCACAGTGCAGCTTCACCTTTAAGTCAGGAATATTGAACTTGGAAGTCACAGCAAGATTATTGTTCTTTGAAGTTGCCGCATGCAATTTCTCCCATGTTTGCTGACAGGTTTTCTCCCCAGGAGCAGATATAAGCCAGAACTCAGTCATGTTTGTTACTGGGTATTTCCTCAAAAATCAAGAGAGATTCTGAAATGTAAAACAAAACAAAAGAAATATATTTAAAATCATTTGTTTCTAAAGTCTTTCAGAGTCATAGGAGACGTTGTAACATATAACCTGTTTCAAAACTAATCTAATATTGGCATATGATCTCCAGCAAAGTGAAATTTACCTACCTCAAAGTAAATCTATATAAATGGTGAAAAAAATGATTTATTTATGATATCAGGAAAGTGAAGTGATAAAAACCTAGTATGTGAAGTACCTACTTTTTTTCATTATAAAACATTCTTAATGGGAGTTAGTCAAGAAGTGAGATTACCCAAAATACCAGCCACCAATAGTTTCCTTCAACCAAAAAGGTGGAGAGTTACAAATTTATAGGTTTATCTTAAACTTTTTTTTTTTTTTTTTTTTTTTGAGACAGTGTCTCACTCTGTCGTCCAGGCTGGAGGGCAGTGGCACAATCTCGGCTCACTGCAACCTCCGCCTCCCAGGTTCAAGCGATTTTTGTGCCTCAGTCTCCTGAGTAGCTGGGATTACAGCCATGCACCACCACGCTCAATTAATTTTTGTATTTTTAGTAGAGACAGGTTTTTGTCATGTTGGCCAGGCCGGTCTTAAACTCCTGGCCTCAAGTGATCCACTGCACCCAACCTATCTCAAACTTTTAAAGCTTACAACCAAAAAAAGGAAATTTAAAAAAAAAAAAAAAGCATAACTTTTATCTTGAAGAAAGAATTTAATTGAATCAATGCATTTATAAACAGCAGTCACCAAATAAATTTGTCACATTGGCTTAGCAAATCCTACAAGGCTAGTAAATTTGGTGGTTAATTCTAATCCATAGTCAATCTAGAGAAATCTCAAATCTTTGATGCATACACTTAGTTGCCATTGAACATTTACAAATTTGAAAAAAAAAACCAAAAAACAAAAAACAAATAAAACTTGCCAATCTGCTCGGCTATTTTAAAATACAGGGAGTTGGGAGGGTGGCGTTAATGTAACATTTTTGGATCTGAGAGGCAGGCTGCACATCTCCCTTTCCAAAGAGTCCCATTAAGATTCACTTAACCCTCTCTACAATCTCTTTTCCTCCTCCTCCTCCTTCCCACACACACAGAAGGGTGAAAAAACTATAGAGATAAAACTATTCAGAATCTAGGTAGGTAAAGCACATAAACACAAGTGATAAAAATCAAAGTATTTTGGTACCATTATTCCCATTTTAATGTGCGTTCATGAGAACCAACATAAGCTTTCTGCTAACACTGCTTATTTAATCTCTCCTGAAACTAATATTTAATGTCTCTAAATTGAACATAACTATCTTACGAAGTTGTCCTGACAACAAAATCAGATAATTAAGGTGAAAAAAGTTTGTAAATGTAACTTTCCTTTAAAATGTAAAGTATTATAGTTAATCATAATGGACTTTCATAATTACAGTAGTCCGTTTTAATTAAAGTACCTATGATTAGGTAATCAATGCTACCTACCCATTACAATACCTTTGAAAGTGAACTTAACATAGATGTCATCCTATATACTTGTTAATTTTTCTAACTACTGTTTAGAGAGGATCTACCATATAAAAAGTACTGCTATAAATGCATTATTAGCTCAATTCATCTTCCCAACACCTCTACGAGGTAAATATCATGCTTCCCATTTACAGGTAAGAAATGGAGGTTAAACCCGGTACAGATGTAGACGGTGGTATCAAATGAATATGTTAAGAAACCATATTCTAGAAAAAAAAAATTTTAAAAGAAACTGTACTGTACGCGGACTTTTCTGACATTACTGATGAAGTTAAACCTTTATCAGCTCTACCTACACCTTCTCAAATGAAAGAGCTACACTTTCCCAAATGGCCAAGAAGTTAAACACAAGCTTTTTAGTGACAGCCAGTCTGGTCAGAGAACAGCACAGCTGAACTGGCCATTCAAGGGTGGAAGCTACTCGTGAGCCCCACGCTCTAATGAGACCATCCAAAGATCAGTTTTGATTTCAAAACAGAAGCAAAAGCAAAATCTTCATTAGCCTACCTGAGAAACTTCAAATACTGAACTTGAAGGCTATTATACTACCATACTCTTATCCAACCTGATTTTTTCGTTCAACCTATTTTTAGAATTATCCAGTGATCATTAATTTTAATTGATATATAATATTCTATTATATGAGTAAACTAAAATTTATTATCTGCTTCTTCCTGGAATGACTGTTCAATTGTTTTTACTTTTTTGCTATTATAAACAATTCTGCTGTGAACAATGTGTACATGTCTCTATCTATGAAAGATTTTCTCTGGGATAAAAGTAAAATAGCTGAGTTATAGGATATGTCTTCAAAGATAGTGGCGACATGTCTTTCCATGCTTCTATGCAGTGTGACTCTGCCACTCCTTCCATCAAAAGGTGGAGCTGGTGACTTGGTTTGACCAACAAAACACATGGAATCCACACTATGCAAGTTCAGGGCTCAGACCTCAAGAGGTCTTGTGTCTTGGACCACTGCCCTCAGACTACCACATAAGGAAGCCAGTTTAGCCTATTGCAAGTGTAGAGAACCAACAACCAGCATGAACCACCAGACATGTGACTGAGGCCATTATGAGCCCTCCAGCCCAGCCAATCTCCCAGCTGAATGCAGCTGCATCAATGAGTCCAGGTAAAACAAACAGAGGGACTACCCCAGCCACCCACAAAATTAGGAGAAATAAGAAATCACTGTTTTAAGCCAATAAGTTTTGGGGTTGTTTGTTGTGCAGCAGGAGACAACTAACACACACCACTGCCAACTCTTCTGGTATTGCCAAACTGTTCTCCAAAGCCTCTACCAACTTAAGTTCCTACCAGCAGATTAAGTTTCTATTTCCACAACTGAAAAACACACAATAGTATATATTGTTCAGAGTTATATACACTTACTGAAAATACTAAAATATGCATAGGAGAAAGGAGCTTTAGTTTTGTAAGATTTCATTTAAAAAATTGAGCAAATATAGCAAAATGTTAATACTTGCTAATCTGCATGGATGTCATTAATTGCAATATTAAAATTTTTCTGTATATCTGAAATACTTCAAAACTAAATATTTGTACAATTGTTACAAGAATGTATTTAATTTACAAGTTAAAACATAACATTGCAGAGCAAATTTATTTAAAAAAAAAATTTTAGTGAACTTTAAAAGGGGATATTCAGAGAATAATCTAGATACCAAATTAATCCTCAAAGTACAACCTTTTTGTTTTACACCTAGTAGAAATGCTTACTAGTCTGTTTATATCTTCTTATGACCAAGTATAATACATTGCATTGCAGACAATGCTTTTAGAGTTTAGGATTTGTTTTAAAAGTATTTTTGGATCCTGAGACAGGAGGATCACTTGACCTCAGGAGTTTAAGATCAGCCTGGTCAACACAGCGAGGCCGTGTCTCTATTTTTTTTTAATTATTTTTATTTTTAAAAAATCAATTTAAAAAAGTATTTGGGGGTCAATATGTTCAACAATCTAACTGCATAATGTTGCAAGGCTCAGGCTATACCTATACTAACTCCAGAACCTATCTCAAGAAGTTGCTTTTAAAAATAAATTCCTGCTGAAATCTCGTGGACCTATCTCCTGCCCTCTTGTCATCCTGTCCCTGTTCTTCGCAACACCTGGATCACCTCACCACCTATCTCTGGTTTCTTCCAGTTAATACTCTTGCACTTACCGAATCTAGCTTTTTTAGCACAAACTATCTTGAACTTTAACATTTTCAGTTATTAGAAAATCTAATAGCAGCTTTAAACCTCTAATTTTAGTAATCCAGATCTTCTAAGTGATCGTGGTTTCTGGAAAATTGAGATTTTGTTATAATAATTTTATGCAAGTGGTTTTCTGTTAGTATATTTAATGATAAATTTTTGTATCTCCTTTCCTCCCAAAATGGTAGGTAGTAAAGTCAACCGTTAAATTCTTCCTGATGATAGTGCTAAATTATCTAAACTGCTGCTTCCTCAAAGATTGTAATAATATGAGCTATTACAGTAGATGTCACTATCATACTACTTAAGAGTTCCAGAAAATCTTTCCTTCTAACAGGCTTTCAGAGGATTTCAAGGAATAGGAAAGAGGACCTCATTTCTCATCTATAAATAATACCTGCCCTATCTACTTTACTGAGCTTTTATTAGGATCAAAGGAAATAATGTCATGATAAATTCTGAACAAAACTATAGTCTAAAAATATTATAGAAGTTCTCTAATTTAGCTTTTAAAAAATTCTATTTTTTGTAGAGATGGAGTCTTGATATGTTGCTCAGGTTGGTCTCAAACTTCCAGCCTCAAGCAATCCTCCTGCCTTAGCCTCCCAAAGTGCTGAGATTACACGTGTGAGCCACTGTGCTCATAATTCTAGCTTTTAAGTGAGACCTCCCTAGAGCCTAGGTGTTAGAAGATGAGGAAGAAAGGAAGGAAAAGGTGCCTTCTAAGTCTGATGCCGTGCTTTTCACTTCTCATACATCACTTCCATTATCACTACAACCCATGAGATAGGCAGTAATACACAGAGAGGTCAGTAGTTTACCCAAGGTTTCAAGACTGGCAGATGGGGTTCAAATTCAGTTGTGTTTGACTCTACAGGCCACATTCTCTCTATTGCGTCACACTAGGAGAAAAGAATGTTCTGTGGTCTGGTACGCCTGGGCTGTCCTCTTTGAAGAGCAATCCACATGTAAGCTTCAACAACACCTTCACCCTATGTTTGGTTCCAGGCTCAGAGCACCCTGTTGGTACGGTGAATTCTGATAAAGGGATCCAAGCTTCCTTTACTTGTTCCCTTCATCCTGGATCATCACAATTTCTAAAGCAGCATTGCCCAGCATCCAAAACTATCCTACCTCCTAGAAGGAACAATCATTCCTCCAAACAAAAGGACACACACACACAAAATTCAAGATTCAAAGTATACTTTGAGACTAGAGACCAGATACTAGAGATTCAATGGACCTGCCAGATCATGGAGGA